CCGTCGGAAAAAACGGCGGGCAAAAAACGGATTGCGCGCACAACTGCGCGCGGCGTTGATTTCATGCGCGCGCGAGCGAGTTTTTGTGCTCGCGCGAACGCGCGCGCTCGCCCGCGCGCGAGCCGCACGCGCTGCGGCGGAAGACGCGTCGCGACGGGGTATCTCGCGACCTCGGAATGGCTGCGGCGATGCCCCCGCCGTTTCGGCGAGTGAATTTCCCCCCGTTGATGAGCTTCACTCGCGCCGCGCCGTCGGGTCCACGAGTTCCCTTGGCGCTCAGGGCGCAGGTCGCCCAGGCCCAGGCCTCCCCCGTTTGCGCCCGCTTCCTTCGCCAATTTGCCCCGGCCCGCTGCGTTTCGTTTCATGCCACTGCCTATCGAGCGGGCTTGGGCTGAGTTTTCTCTCGTTGTCGCTTGTGGCAGCGCTTGCATGGTTTATTCCCTCCTCGGCCCTCAATGCTCGGACCTCTTCCGCCTGGGAGGTCGCGACCAACCTGCCCGGCGCGGCGCGCGCGAAACGCTTTGTTCGCGGCGTCGAGGCCGCATTCGCGCGAACAACAAACATCGCGTCCCGACGTCGGGGGGTCAACTCGACATCGCGCGTGGCGTCATTTCGTTTTTCGGTTCTGATTTACCGCGCGGGGCCCGCCAGCGCCGCCGCGCGGCCGCGCGGCCGCGCGTCGCCGCGCGACAGCTGCGCAGATGCAGACGAAGTGCGTTTGTTTTGGCGCCGGCATCGGTTGCCCTTGCTCTGCTAGCCAGGCCGCGCGCGAGAGGCGCCGCAACGTCAGGCGCGTTTTTTCAATTAATTGAAGGGTGATATTGCTTGCTTTCGACGCGGCGTTTGGTTGCCAAGGTGGCGCAAAATATGTTCGCCGAGCAGGCGTGGCAAAGTCGCTTGTCCGCGGCGCTATCTCGCGACGCCTGCGACCCCGAAAAGGAGTCTTGGGCCGTGCAGCGGCCTTCATATTGAGGTGGAGATGTTGCAGTGATCTTATTTGTAGATCGCATGCCCCTCAAAAGGAGGCCCGTACTTTTTTCTGCGCACGCACGCCCGCCGCGTGGGCGGGCGAAGTCCAGGAAGAGGAGGGGAACACAGAAGAGTAGCAGTGTTAGTTCACTGCTGCCACATCTACCTGCCTCCCTTCCCGACGCCGCTTATTGCTACAAGCCCTCCCGACGCTAGGGCGGAGGGAGGGCTTTGCCTTTTTTGACCTGCCTGCAGCAAGGCAGAACCGTTTGCGGTGAAACAGATCACACCACGTCGACACCGTGCCAAGAAGCCTTTTCTTTTGGTCATCATTTCTGATTACCTGGGCCTTTTGTTCTTGCTCTCGAAGGGCTCGCAGGGCTTCCGATTCTACTCTCTCGGCCTCGAGTCTAGCAGCCTCAAGTTGATTGCGGAACTCCTGGCTTTCTCGCGCTGCTTGTTCTCGGGCTCCTTCTTCTTCCCTCCTGGCGGCATCAGCAATTTCTCTGTACTTGCTCTTTCTCTCTTTCTCTCTCTCTCTCTCTCTCTCTCTCAGCCTTTTGCTGGGAGTCTGACGCCAGTTGCTCGGCCATGCTCTGGATTCTCAATATTTCATTCTCCTGCTTGCCTCCAGATGCTTCTGCGGTGTAAAACGCGAGGTGCCCATGCAAAGCACGTCGCTTGACATCTGCTTTCGTCGCTCCCTCGGGAGGCCTCGGGTCCCGCAGCCAGCCCCCTCGCCGCCGAGGAGAGTTCGGCGGCCCCGAGGCGTTGGCGCTGCCTGAGCAGCGGCCCGCTCAGGCAGCCTGCCCCTGGCGTGTGCAGGCCCGGCCGAGCCGCCCGCCGGGGTGAAGGGCGCTCGGGCGCTGCGCAGTTGGGTAAAGTCGGGCATGCCCCTCTACAGGGGGGATACTCAAAAGTAGTATTATGATAGCTTGGGCACACTGTTTGAATGTTTGGCTAGTTTGAATATGGTTTGGTCGTTTGTTATTTATCCTCCAACGCCCGCCTGTAGGAGGACATGTCCGACCTGACAGCGGGGGGGCCATGCGTGAGGGGGTGACGAAAGGTGCCCCTTATGTGCAGTAAGGCTTGGCATCGCTCGGACGTGTGTATTTTCTCTCGGCGAGGGTCCTCGATGGGGCATCCTGGCTCATTTTGCGAAGAATAAGCGCGCGGAACCGAAGATACACGGGGAATGGACGTCCGAAGGATGGAAAGAAGGGGAGCCCTAGAGGCGCCCCCTGAGGCCCACAAGGGGCCCGAAAGGTGCACGTTTCTTCGCCCCCCCCTTTTTGTTCTTTTCTGCCCCTCCATCGAACAATGCCCGAGGGGTGGGGGGGAAGCGGGAATTTCCAGTCACGCTGCGTGCTCCCCGAGATCGTGGCGTCTCTACTTGTTCGAGTTGGGCGCTTCCGCCCAGTTTCGGTCCCTGGGGCCCTTACATATCGATCAGGTTCGAAAAACGAAACAACAAGATAGGGATTCCGGGCGCGGTTTTCCGCGATGTTGCATTTTTCCTCAACGTCGGAGGGGGGGTCCAGGAAACACTTTTTTTATCCCCTGGCGATAACGTGCGTGACCGGGGGGGGAGGGGGGGGGGCGGTCACGTCACGATTCGCGCCGGCGCCGCTCGGGAATGCTCAGGGATGGCTCATGCCCAGACGGCGCCAGTGCGAATCGTGACGTGGCCAGGAATGGGGGTCAAGGGGGTTGGCGGGGCCGTTCACGGGCGTCATCGCGAATCATGAAATTTGGCTGCTGCGTGTTTGTATTTTCCGAAAGGCCATGGCCTCTCTCCCACCAGGTTCCAGCCAGGCCCAGACGACTGTCCGCAGTGGTGGTTCGCTCGTTCGAGAGTGCGGCTTTGGGGAGGGGGGGGCTGTCCAACTCCCCAGATATCCTGCGACATGTTTTTAATTCCCTAGGTGTCCAAGCAATCTTCGGCCTCCTGGTCCCGCTTCGGGCCCCAGATCTGGGACGAGGAAAGAATCCCCCCATGAAACATAACATCGTCGGAGATCTTGGACGAGGAAAAGAATCCCCCCAGGAAACATAGCATCGTCGGAGATCTGGGACGAGGAAAGAATCCCCCCATGAAACATGACATCGTCGCAGATCTGGGACGAGGAAAGAATCCCCCCATGAAACATAACATCGTCGCAGATCTGGGACGAGGAGAAGAATCCCCCCATGAAGCATAGCATCGTCGCAGATCTGGGACGAGGAAAAGAATCCCCCCAGGAAACATAGCATCGTCGCAGATCTGGGACGAGAAAAAATTCCCCCCAATGAAACACAGCATCGTCGGACGTGTGGACTCCCTTTGCGGGTACTATGCCCGTGCCGATACACAGAAGGCGTCTCCCGTGGCGACCGGGGCACGGAGCCCGAAGGGTGCGGGCGACGCCTCTGTGTCCGCAGCCGCTGCAGCCGCAGCCGCTGCAGCCGGAGGCGCACCGGGTATGGGTCAAAAATCTGCCCCCAGAGGCTCGAGTTTTTATCGTCGCAGATCTGGGACGAGGGAAAGAATCCCCCCAGGAAGCATAGCATCGTCGCAGATCTGGGACGAGGAAAAGAATCCCCCCGTGAAACTTAGCATCGTCGCAGATCTGGGACGAGGAAAAGAATCTCCCCAGGAAACATAGCATCGTCGGAGATCTGGGACGAGGAAAAGAATCCCCCCAGGAAACATAGCATCGTCGGAGATCTGGGACGAGGAAAATAATCCTCCCATGAAACACAGCATCGTCGCAGATCTGGGACGAGGAAAAGAATCCCCCCATGAAACATAGCATCGTCGCAGATCTGGGACGAGGAAAAGAATCCCCCCAGGAAACATAGCATCGTCGGAGATCTGGGACGAGGAAAATAATCCCCAGGAAACAACATCGTCGGAGATCTGGGGCGAGGAAAATAATCCCCCCATGAAACATAGCATTGTCGCAGATCTGGGACGAGGAAAAGAATTCCCCCAGGAAACATAGCATCGTCGGAGATCTGGGGCGAGGAAAAGAATCCCCCCAAGGAACATAGCATCATCGGAGATTTGGGATGAGGAAAATAATCCCCCCCTGAAACATAATGTCGTCGCAGATCTGGGACGAAGAAAAGAGTCCCCCCATGAAACATAGCATCGTCGGACGTGTGGACTCCTTGCGCGGGCACCATGGCCGTGCCGATACACAGAAGAGGCGTCTCCCGTGGCGGCGGGGCACGGAGCCCCCGAAGGGTGCGGGCGACGCCTCTGTGTCCGCAGCCGCTGCAGCTTTCGGCGTTTTTGGGCTCCCTTCCCTCCCACGGAGGAGGGGGAGGAGAAGGATGAGAAGGAAGAGGAGGGGGAGGAGGATGAGGGGGAGGAGGAGGAGGAGGAGGAGGAGGAGGAGGAGGAGGAGGAGGAGGAGGAGGAGGAGGAGGAGGAGGAGGAGAGGAGGAGGAGGAGGAGGAGGGAGGAGGAGGAGGAGGAGGAGAGGAGGAGGAGGAGGAGGAGGAGGAGGAGGAGGAGGAGGAGGAGGAGGAGGAGGAGGAGGAGGAGGAGGAGGAGGAGGAGGAGGAGGAGGGAGGGAGGAGGGAGGAGGGAGGAGGGAGGAGGGAGGAGGAGGAGGAGGAGGAGGAGGAGGAGGAGGAGGCGCACTGGGTATGTGTCAAAAATCTGCCCCCAGGGGCTCGATGGTTATCCATATCTCCAGTGCGCCTCGGCCTCGTAGCGCCCCTTCCAAGAAAATGCAAGACGCTCTGGGCACGGACGTGAATCCTGCCCGCAGGAGGAGGAGGAGGAAGAGTAAGAACCGGCGTCACCCCAACATACTACTATGTGTTGTGTACGTCGCGCGAGCCGAGAAATCTTGTAGTATACGCTCCGTGACGGGCGTTTTCTGGCCATACCGTTCGGGAAACGATATATTACAAGATGGGAGTACTAGATGTTCGGGTCGGATGCATGCCTTCAAGGAGGACACAACGTATTACTATGTCCCTTTGCGTCCCAGAGGAGGGGATATGGAGAAGCCGCGCGAATGAGTCTTGGCTCAACCGAGGATGGCTCACGGCGGATGCCTTGCGGACTCGGGTTTTTCGGCGAGGCGTCTTGCCGTCGCGGCCGTCGCCGCCCCCTCTGTATAGCTCCATGGAGTCCGCTGCGGATCTGGCCATCCTGGTCTGCGCGCTCCTCATCCTTGGGCTCTACGTCGTGACTGTGGCGTTCAAGGATAATGTTTTTTACCCTCTGGGCCATAACGCGCGTTATGCCCCCTCCACTCCCCCCTTCCCCCCCCCCATAACGTAACGCTCCCTTCTCTCAGTGCGTCTCCAGCACTGCAGAAGTGCGTCTGGCACCACAGGTTTGGTGGGGGGGGTCGTTACGTTATGCCCCCCCGTCCCCCCACCCCCCTCGCCCCCATCACGGCCAGTATCGCCGCGACTTCAAAGAATGCGCTCAAGCGGGCACGCCTCGGCTGCACCCTTGGTTCGCTGGATGCTGCCATCGTGCGGCCGTGGCGGAGGAGCGCGCGGGATGCAGATCAGTCGTCGGCGGACGCCTTTGTGGCGAAGCTGATGGACAAGAAGAGAGGGGAGATGATCACAGTGACCTCCTCGGTGTGCCAGTTCGTATTTTTTCTCTCGATCCTGTGGGGCGTCGTGAACATTGTCAGCGGCCGCAGCCGAATAAGGAACTACCGACAGGACGGTACAATGCTGATTGCATTCGGCACTCAAATCCTCGCCAACTGCGACCATAATTTTGGCTCTCGAAGCAGAAGCAACTACCATAAATTTCTGGCGGTCAAGTCCGCTCGGATTTCTTGTATCTGTTCTCGGCCCCCCTACGGCGCCTCTGGCACCGCCCCTTGCGAGCTCCGCGTGCCAAGGAGGGGGTCCAGCGCCGATCCAAGAAATCCGCGTGGACCTCCGAAAGCTTCTGTGTTATGTAGTTGCTCCTTCTTCATCTAGGCTCCGGTCGCGTCAACAGCTCGGTGGTGTACGTGGTGACGATGCTCAGCTGGACGCTGTTTGTGATCACCACGAGCGACACCACCCATCTCGTCCCTACCAATGCGTTCATGTACTTTCCGCGCGTGATCTTCAGCCTCGCGTATATGAAATCCAGAACTGTCTGTCTAGTGTGTGTCCTGCACACTGCTGCGTCAAGCCTGACGTACAGCTACATGCTGGCACAGACCAGCCACGCGCCGACGGCCTGCGGGGCCTCACAGGACAAGGCGATCACGAACATGACCGAGGTCGAGTTCACGCGCACCGACCTGATGTGCTGCTTCATCGTGGTGCTCACCACCCTCGGCTGGGAGATGACGATGACCATGCACGCGCGCAAGGAGCTCGAGGTGACCGCGACGCGCGGCGAGACCACCGCAACACGGAGGCTGCTGAACACGATATGCGACGCCATCTTCGAGCTCGACACCGACCTCCGCATCGTGGACGACGCGCTGCAGCTGGCCGGCGCGCTGCAGCACGGCGCCGACCGGTCGCTGCGGGGCATGCTTGCCGAGAACCTGCTGGTGGCCGAGGACCGAAGGGCAAGCAAAGGCGCAAGCAGAACTTGCCAGAGCCCCGCGCACACCTGGATCGGTGCCGGGCCCCCCCTTCAGAGGAGGAAAGGGTACCGATACCAAGGGCGCCCTAGAGGGCGCGAAGTTATTCGCGCTTCGCGGTTCGGCTCCGATTCTTCCTCATCCTCCTCTTCTCCCCTGGGAGGCGGCGCGAGAGCGCGAAGTTATTCGCACTTCGCGCTTCGCGCAGCGCGAAGCGCGAAGTTGGGAGTCCTTGCCCGCTGCCTTCCCCTGTTTTCCCATTCTTTCGGCCTTCTGGGAGGCCCTGTCATCACCGCTGGATTCGCCTCGGAATCCTGGTCGGAACGCACCCGGGGAGAGGTCTGGGGAGTAGCGGTAGCGGTGCCCTTTGGTTTCCCGACCCCTGGCGGCGCTCCGTGCGCCAGGGAGGGGGGAAGGGGAAACGCCAGTCCAAAAAATCTGCGCGCCGACCTCCGCAAGTTGATGGTCATGCCGATGATCCCTTCTCTATTGGATTCGAGTAGGGGATCGACTGCCGAATTGATGTACCCCGGAAATTTGTTTGATCGTCGAGCTCCATGAGACAAATACGTAGGATAGTCGGTAGACCTACGGAACAATGCAGGTATGGTTCGCACATTCGACAGGAATCAGTTTTGAGGTAAATCGATTATGTAGTCGATCCCCTACTCGAAGAGGATCGGGCTCTCTTCAGGGAGCGCGTCACGACGCCCGTCCTCGCCAGCCAGTCCATGGCGAACGTAATGCACGTGCGCATGCGCGACAGCCTAAACAACATCCTCAAGGTCGAGATCTTCCACGTCCCCGTCGCCGGCTCGCTGACTGGCGCGTCCCACCTCATCGGCGTCCGCGAGCACGCGGACTGCGGCGAGTGCCCCGTCAAGTGGCTCCCGGTCCCCGGCCGGCTGGTGATCGGCGGCGCGCGCAGGGGGACGGGCTCTGTATAGAGGGGGCGTCTCTCTGAGGCTGCCGGAGGGGCTCCCGGGGGGCCTTCGTGAGGAGCCCCTGCGCCTTCTCGAGAGGCCCTTTTTTAGGCCGGCTCTACGCGTGTCCGCTCACAGCAGCGGGCCCCCTGGCGCTGGCCCGCGCGCTTGGATCTGGGCCCTCCGCGGCCCCCGAAGCCGCGCACCAAAGTCGGGGGAACGTAAGACCCGGGTTTGCCAGGACTCGGGTTCGCCATCGTTTTTTGACGACCGCGCCTCGGATTTTGACGAGGAGAAATTTCGTGGGATGTCTGCAGCGGGAGGCCTCGTCAAAATGCAGGCTCGGCCTCGTCATCTTTTTGACGACCTCGTCGGGGATTTCCGAGTCCCCTGTACCCGGGTCTTACGTCTCCCCGACAAAGGTCACCCTTTTACAAAGGTCGCTCTTGCGAGATGAAGCCCCTCAGGGCCGCTCCGAGAATCGGCGGCCAGCCCGGGGGAGAAGCGAGAGGGGGCGGGCCTTCTCGGGAGGCTCTGGAGCCCCCCGCCCCTTCTGAGAGGTGGTCGGAGGCACAGAGAGCTTCCCGGAAGGCCGGAGGCCTTCTGAGAAGTCCCCGCCGCCTTCTGAGGAGGCCTTCTCCTTCTCACTTCCCCCCCTCGCTCGCCGCCGAGAGAAACCCCTTGCCCGCTGTGACGCCCAGAGGTCACTCTTACCAAAAGCCACTCTTACCCAGGGTCGCTCTTGCGAATAGCCGACGGAGCCCCTCATCAGGAACAAGTGATGCACCGACCCCAATCACCCATTGACCGCCGACAGGGGTCTGATAGCCCCACCCCGCTCAGGAACGTGCGGATCTGCTGTCGGGGGCCTACAGTGGAGACCCATGCCAGGAAGCACCCTGCGTGCCTCGAGGGTGCCCTGAGTTTCTTGGGTTTCGATGGCTTTGACATGGGAAGCGCGACGTCCCCGCACCAAAAACCCGCGGACGTCCTGGGGTCTCAGGGTTGGGTTCCCTGGAGAAGGCTTCTTGTGGTCGGGCCCCTCTTTAGGGGGCCACATGCGAACCCTGCCCCTGCCCCCCCCACGAAGTGAGCCCCACCCTCCCCTCATAAATCGTGGGGGAGTCAGGGGGAGGGTTCGCGCGTGGCCCCCTGCTCTCGTATCGCCGATCTCTCGGCGATGTACCGCCGACTGCAGGTCGGATGCCTCTCCGCTTCAGGCCAGTGCCCCCCGCCCCCCCCCCCCTGTCGTTGTCCCTCGGCGCAGTGCCCGCGGGCGGGCGCCTCGTCGGCGCTCACGGCCAGGGCACCACTCGGGGGTGGACAGAACCCCCAACAGTGACACGTCGATTAGTGAACTGTCCGACTTCGGTTCTCGAGAGGGCGCCGCGGCCGTTATTTTCCAGGCTTGCGCCCGCCAGGTTTGGGCCTCAGGTCGTTTTCACGAAACCACGTTTTACTAAAGGGAGGTCTGTCCATCCCCGAACCACGCAGTCTTACGCCGGGCCCGTCCCTCCACAGGAGGCATGCTCAAAAATCGTCAAAAAGTAGTCTGGGGGCGATTTTTGGGGACTGTCTTCGAATCTGGTGGGGCATTTTTGGGGTATGTTTCATTTTGTCGCCCAAAATCCCCCTCTGTAGGGGGACATGCCCGACCTAAACGTAGTCTGCACAACAGCGATTGCTCCACCTCTGCACCACAGAGCGTACGCCACCCATCTTACAACAGATGACTTGCACAGCACAGCTCAAGTCGCACAGCTTGATCCGCGTGCCTTGCACCATTCAGCTTTCGACGCATGTGTGGCACTTATTGCACAACGATGTTACCCCTCACCTTTGTAGGGTAACGGCTAATGGCATAAACATAAAAAACTCGTAGGTTCGCGCGGACCTGCGAGTTTTTATGTTTCTGCCATTGTTCGTTCCCCTAAACATCTTTGCTCCTCACCTCAGGGCCCTTCTGAGAAGCCCCTTGCCCTCCGAGATGCCCCCGGCCTGCTTCTCGGCCGTTCGCAGGAGCGGCCCTCTGCCGGCAGCCCCGGGGTGCACTGCCGTCGGGGGGGGGGGGGAGCGGGGCAGACGGCTCGCTGCCGTCGCACCGCACGCAGGGCCGTTTTTAATCCATGCCGTTTTTGTTTATACGTGCTCCGCGTGTGGATCATGTCTTACAAATACAGGGATTCAGTACTAGAAACAACGATGAGTTCATGCATAGATTTACTCATACGTTGATCATGTATTAAAGATCCAATATTCTTCAACATTCTATGTCTTAAAATCTGCCCTGCACGCAGGGGCCAGTCAGCCGCGCACCAGAAGTCGCTCTCGCCTTGGGCGGCTCTTGCGCGTGGCCGGTCTTAGAACCTACGGTAGGTTGGTGTCGTGTCGACCGGCGGCGACCCCGCCAGCGGCATTCAATTGTTAGCTCCGCGAGCGAGCCAGAATACCCAGAATCGTTCGATGTGGAACGATTTGGACGTTTCGGAAACGGCCGATCGTTCAAGGTTGAACGAGCCCCGCGGTGTCAGAAACCAGCGCCGAAGTCGGCTCGACACGAACCTGACGTAGGCCTCCTAGATGGGGTCGGAGTAGACGGGGTCGGAGGATCGCGCCGCATCACCGATGCATTGCCGATGCGGCTCGATGTGCAGCCCGATTTGCTTCACGTCGACACCGCCGATGCATCGCCGATGTATCGGCGATGCGGCGCGATCCTCCGACCCCATCTACTCCGACTCGATCTAAGAGGCCTCTATAGAACCCTGAGGCCTTGGCGCTGCAATTCCCAACCATCCTGTGGTGTCGGGTCCTCGTTGTGAAAAGAGCGCCCCAAGACTCCTCTCCTCTCCTCCTCCACCACCTCCTCCTCCCCCCTCCTCCTATAACTGCCTCTGCCGTCCGCACCCAGTACAGCGTTTTGTGGCCCCATAGGGAGCTCCACCGAAGGCCCCAGTGGCTGTAATCGCATGCGTCTCACGCCACTCAGTACAGCGTTTCGTGGCCCCGCAGGGAGCTCCATTGTAGGCCCAAGTGGCTGTGACCACATGCGTCCCGCGCCACACAGTACGGCGTTGCGTGGCCCCGTAGGGAGCTCCACCGAAGGCCCCATTGGCTCTGACCACATGCGTCCCGCACCACCCAGTACGGGGTTTCGTGGCCCCATAGGGAGCTCCACCGTAGGCCCAAGAGGCTGTGACCACATGCGTCCCGCGCCACCCAGTACGGCGTTGCGTGGCCCCATATGGGGGCTCCACCGAAGGCCCCAGTGGCTGTGATCACATGCATCCCGCGCCACCTAGTATGGCGTTGCGTGGCGCCAGAGGGAGCTGCACCAAAGGCCCCAGTGCCTGTGACCACATGCGTCCCACGCCACCCAGTGCAGCGCTTCGTGGCCCCGCAGGGAGCTCCATTGTAGGCCCAAGTGGCTGTGACCACATGCGTCCCGCGCCACCCAGTACGGCGTTGCGTGGCCCCGTAGGGAGCTCCACCAAAGGCCCCGTTGGCTCTGACCACATGCGTCCCGCACCACCCAGTATGGGGTTTCGTGGCCCCATAGGGAGCTCCACCGTAGGCCCAAGAGGCTGTGACCACATGCGTCCCGCGCCACCCACTGCCAGTACGGCGTTGCGTGGCCCCATATGGGGGCTCCACCGAAGGCCCCAGTGGCTGTGATCACATGCATCCCGCGCCACCTAGTATGGCGTTGCGTGGCGCCAGAGGGAGCTGCATCAAAGGCCCCAGTGCCTGTGACCACATGCGTCCCACGCCACCCAGTGCAGCGCTTCGTGGCCCCGCAGGGAGCTCCACCGTAGGCCCAAGTGGCTGTGACCACATGCGTCCCGCGCCACCCAGTACGACATTTCGTGGCCCCGTATCGGGGCTCCACCGAAGGCCACAGTTGCTGTGACCACATGCGTCCCGCGCCACGCAGTGCGGCGTTGCGTGGCGCCAGAGGGAGCTCCACCGTAGGCCCCAGAGGCTGTGACCACATGCGTCCCGCGCCACCCAGTGCAGCGTTTCGTGGCCCCATATGGAGCTCCACCGAATGCCCCACTGGCTATGATCACATGCATCACCTCTCGCACATTTCGGCAAACCCATCACGCGTTTCGTGACCCCATAGGGAGCTCCACCGAAGGCCCCAGTGGCGACGTTCGCCTGCGTCCCCCCCCACATCCATCTCGGCATACCCCTCTGGCGTTTCGTGGCCCCACAGGAAGCTCCACCGAAGGCCCAGGTGGCGACGTTCGCATGGCGGCCCCGCTCTATTTCGGCACACCCCTAACACGTTTGGTGGCCCCATATGGAGCGCCACCGAAGACCTCGATGGCTGCGCCCGCATGCGTCCCCGCCCCATTTCGGCACATCCTTTACACGCTTCTTGGCCCCATATAGAGATCCACCGAAGGCGATACCCACAACGTCGATATTCACAACTGCAAATTGCTGGGCCCTTCGCCAGAATAATTTTTCGAGCCTGGCGATTTCGCCCAGATTCGGGCCCGTGACCCTCACAGACCGATCCGGCTCGAGAAACGTGGCAGCAAGATGGGGTCCAGAGTCTGAGACTCCAGTCATGACATCCCGCCACAGCGACGAGGGCAGGGGAGTGGCACTGCCATGTGTTACGCACTCGTCTGACTTCCAGACATTCGACGACGTGATTTGTTCATAACGCGGCCCTGGATGTCCCGATCCCTTCCCCAGGATGATGATTTTCCTACTTACTCTAGCCTTGACAGCCTGGAAGAATTTCGAGCACCAGGAACGTACCCCAACTGAAGGGATTTCACATGTCGGGCCTCGGGAGGCGACACTCATTCGACACTTCGCTAGCGTGTCGGGCAGACGCTGTTACTATCCTTTTCTGGGTGCTCGAGTTTTTTCCTGTGATGTGGTCCCTACCTCACCGTTTTCTCTATTGCAAGTCTGTTGGAAACCATGTTTGAACTTATTGATATTACGTTACATCGATCGCTTTGGAATTGGCAAATGTAACGGCGAAAGTAGGTCTGTATAGAGCTGAACACTCGTAAACTATTGACCTTGGACTCAAAAAATCTAGACCAGGATTTTCCCCAATAAACGATAGAGAAGGAACGGCAGCAGAAGGAGGGCGGAGAGGAAGAAACCACAGAACCCCATGGGTACAGTCGAAAACCCCAATAAGGACGCGCGACTTTGCTCAGGGTACCCTTGCGTCCTTGCTCTTCTTTGCTCTTGCGTCCTCAGGGTTTTCGTCGTCCGCCGCCCCAGAAACCCCAACTTCGGCTTCCAAGGGTCTTGCGTCCTTACCGCGCGTCCTCATTTGGGTTCTTGACCGCAGCTCCTTCGTCCGGGATGTCCGTGCCTGCGGCCCCGGGGCCCGGAAGCGGGGCCCCTCGGAGGCCGAAGGAGCGGAAGAGAAAGAGGCGCGCCCCCGACGGAGCCTCGCGGGCCCCCCCAACAAAAGGGTGTGGTGGTGACCACGCCGCAGGGTCGCCGCGTGTTCCCCAGGTCCTGAGGACGGGGGTCCTGTTACTGCTTTCGCGGCGCCGAGGACCCTCCTCCTGCTCCTCCTCTTCCTCCTCCTCCTCCTCCTCCTCCTCACTCACACTCCTCAGTGTCACTCAGAGTCGCACTCAGGGTCACCACTCAGTCTATGATGATGCTGCTGCTGCTGATGATGATGATGATGCTGATGCTGATGCTGATGATGATGATGTTCTGATACTGATGATGGTGATGCTGCTGCTGCCGATGCTGATGATGGTGCTGCTAATGTCCTGATGATGATGATGATGATGATGCTGATGATGATGATGATGATGATGATGATGATGATGATGATGATGATGATGATGATACTGATACTGATGATGATGATGATGATGATGATGATGCTGATGCTGATGCTGATGATGCTGATGATGATGATGATGATGCCGCTGATGATGATGCTGATGATGATGATGATGACGATGCTGATGATGATGATGATGATGATGATGATGATGATGATGATGATGATGATGATGATGACGATGATGGTGATGATGATGGGTATTGCACGGGCCCGTTCGCGTCTAGATTGTGTGGATGTCTTAGGCGATTTGCTTGCTTTCATGCCGAACAGCCTCCGCTTTCGGAGCAGAGTTTGAAACTGTCTCGGGCGAGGCGCTGGTTTTCGCACCCCAGGGGGCCCAGATTGCATTGATGTCTCGAGCGGCTTGGTTGCTTTAGTTGCCAGAGTTGTCTGTGTTCAGACCAGGTGTCGAGGATGTCTAGAGCGATGCGCTGGTTTCCGCACCCCCAATGGGGGACGCCAGGGAGTATCTCATTCCTCCGTTCGCGCCCAAATTTCGGGGACGTCTCTAGCGGTGCGCTTGTTTACTAACCCAACATCCTCTGCTTTCGGAGCAGATGTTGAGGACTTCTCGCTGGTTTCCGCACCCCAGGAGACCCAGACTGCCAGGATGTTTCGAGCGGCTTGCTTGTTCTAGTGGCCAGGCCCGTCTGCGTTCATTCCTAATGTTAGGTGTTTCACGCATGTCCCTACAGACTGCCCCTCCCCCCTGTGGTTCCAACCCTATGTTTCTATGGATTGGGCCTCTCCTGGGGAACGAGTCCATAGATTGCCCTTCTCCTGTGAAGTGCTTTTACGCAGGTTCCTATAGATGAGGCTTCTCCCGGGGCGCGAATCCCCCCAAGGAGGCCCCAGGCGCCAGGAGGCACGAGGAGGCCCCAGGAGGCCCCCAGAGGTTCCAGGAGCCCCAGGACGCCCCAGGACGCCACAGAAGGCTCCAGGAGGCACCAGGAGGCCTGGAGCCTCCAGGAAGCTCCATGAGGCCCCAGGAGGCCCGAGGAGGCCACAGGAATGGCTCCAGTTTCACTTGTTTTACGTATGTTCCTGTAGATTGGGATTCTCTTGGGGCGCGAGTCCTGTTTGAGGTTTACGCATGTGCTGCTTTTTTTTGTGTGGCATGAATCCTATGTGTGTTTCCATGTGCTCCTATAGATTGAGCATCTTCTGGGGTACGAGTTCTTGGTGTTTTACGTATGGTCCTATACATTGCCTCTCTCCTGTGGTTCCGGTCCTAAGCGCTTTACGTATGTTCCTAGCGATCGGACCTCTCCTCCCCGTGGTGGCTGGCTGTATCACGCTCCAGCCACTGCGTGAGATCTTCTGCGGCAGCCAAAGAAGCGCAAGGGCTTCGCACGACGTTTGCACGAGCACCGTTACTTACGCGGGATGTAAGATTGTCCTCTTGAGGTGCAAATGACGATGATGAGTTGGAAGTCAATGACCGAACCCTCACGGTCGGGTTCCGGGGTCCGCGGGTCCGATTTCCTCGGGTTTCCCTTTTTTTACGCTAATAATCAAAATTTTAAACGGGGTAAAAATCTGATCCGCCGTCAACAATAAGACCGAACACGGATCCAGCAACTCCGAAATCGGACCCGCGCGGTCGAAAATCGGATCCACCGAAACAGACACCAAAGACACTCTAGGATCCGCGCTTATTTCATGGGATCCGATGGCGGTTATCTCATGCGCGTCTGCTCAAGACTTCAACCCGTCGTTCCGGGCCCAAGAGGAAAAAACTTTTGTCCTGGGAATGTAGTCTTCGCTTCATCACGGAGGGAGGGATCGCGTGGCCATTTCGATTCAGTCACGCCCCTCAGTCATGATCAGGCCACTGACGCGCACATACGCCCAAGCTTAGACATGCTCAGACTCATGCGCATAGAGTCACTCGTGCTACTGAGATTCATTCACTCCAACTCGTTCACAGTTAGATTCACGCCCTGTCTGTCAATATTCAAGCCCGCTTGTATTCAACAACTTGTGCGCCTGGACACTCACGGCGAAAACGATCCATGCAAATAGATGCGCATATGGGGAGCCCCACGCAGCGAATGATTACTTAGTGTTTCGCCGATCTGCGCGGGCCCTCGGCCCCCCCCTTCGTATAGCAGGTATTGGTCGCTCGTGGCGGCTGCTTTTGTCGGCTGGTCAGGGCCCCTCTGTCCCAGTCTGCTTGCGCGACTGGTAACAGCAGACCGACGAAGCACCGGCCGAGACCCTGACCCCCCTCCACACTCTTGGCCAAATGTTGAAACCCAGAATAGAAATAAACCGCCGGCATGGTGAGTCGGTGGGGATTCGGGGTCGCCGCACGGTTTTGGAATTCGGGTCGTTCTCCGAGGACGAGCTTGGCTTGCGAAGCCCCAGCGCCGTGCGTTGACAGACCGCGCGGTGAGGCCGTTGAGGGCTCCGAGGTCACCACACGGTCCGTCACCACACGGCTTCGGGGCGCCAGAGCACATGGCAGACCCTGCCGGAGGTCCGGACCCCCCCCCCGCCCGGCGCGTGCGCCCCCGACAGAGGTGAAGGGCCCGCGCGCCGCCCGGGCCGAGTCGCCATCCGCGCGGCTCGGCACGCCCGCCGTCGCCGCGAGCGAGTCCATCGGCAGCAGCTCAGACGGCCCACCAGCCCGCCGCGCGGGCAACTCGTCCAGCGAGGGGCGCCGACAGGGGGCGGCGGGATCCGCCGAGATGTCGACACGCCAGAGCAATCCGAGGGGCAAGCTGAGGCGGCGGTGGTTGGCTTTCGGTCGGCCCCATCCTCGCCGCGGCTGGACGCAGCTCGGGAGGCTTCTCGTCGCCACGGCTGGACCTGCCTCGGCAAATGGGCCAGGATGGTCCCCCAGAGGGGCCGGGCGACCGAGTTTGGGGGGACCGTGGGCTGGGCGACAGCGCCGCCACTGTCTGAGCTGGCCGGCGGCGAAATCCGAACCCTACCTTCGCCGGTCAACGGCTCGGGCAACTTCACCCTTGAGCAACGACAACATACACGAGCCGAGAAACACACTTAATGTGAACTCGATGGGCGGCGGGAGGAGGGCTCGGAATTCGTGGAGCGTGTGGCGACATCCCAACACCCCTGCCTCCCATCGATCAGGAAACTCTCTGGTTGGTGGGGGTCGGGTTCGGACCCAGACCCGCGGCGTTGCGATTTTTGCACAACGTCGACCCCGAGAGGTCTGGACCCCTTCCCCAGGAACCGAGTCGTTTCTGAACAGTCCCGAGGCCCGGGAGGGGCCCCGAGAGGCCGAGAACAGCGAACAATTGCCCGTCGCGATTTTGTCGCCACGCGAGGGGGCCTGGAGGAGCCTTGACCCGGACTGGAGTCGGCGGTGCGTCGCCGAGGGGTCGGCGGCAGGCCCTCGAGGGCGAGGCCGCGCGCTCCCCTCGGGGGGATTGGGAGCCCCCCGGGCCCCCGATCGGCGATGAGCTGGCGATGGGGGTGTCGACGTCTGCCCCTGCATGGGCCAGTCTTCGGGGGAAGAGATGTACACCCTAGGCGATGCTTAAGAAAACTTACGTTTTCGGCCAGAGTCTCGACTATTCTTAATGTTTCAATGTAAATCCTAAGATTTTCAGAGGAACTCTGTGCTTTTATTCAAATTCTGAGACTCTGAATTTCTTAACCCATGATTTCTTAAGCATTTCGCGGGGTGTATGCACATGCACCGATCCTGACAACGCCCATCCTTGACCCAGGATCGGTGCACATACCCTCCTGGCCAAGGTAAGAGGGCGTATGCACCGATCCTGGGCTCAGGATGGGCCTGGCCAGAATCGGTGTATGTGCAGAGTTCTCTTTCCTCTAAATCTGGGGGAGCAGGAGGCGACGGAAACATACAGCTTGGACCGGCGCGGAATTCTTGGATCGGCGTTGGACCCCCCCCCTTTTTATGCGAAACGGGTAGGGGGGTCCCAGCTCTGACCCAAGCGATCCGCGCGGACCTTCGAGACTTGATGTGTGTATGTGTGTGTGGTGTGTGTTGTGTGTGTTGTGTGTGTGTGTGTTGTGTGTGTTGTGTGTGTGTGTGTTGTGTGTGCGAGCGGGTGTATGTGTATGTATGTCTATGTGTGTGTGTGAGTGTGTGCGTGCGCGTGTGTGTGTGTGTGTGTGTGTTTGTATGTCAGTGTGTGTGTATCTGTTCGTGCGTGCGTGCGTGCGTGCGTGCGTGCGTGTGTGTGTGTGGTGTGTGTGTGCGCGTGTGTGTGTGTGTGCCTGTGTGTGCGTGCGTGCGTGCGTGCGTGCGTGCGTGCGTGCGTGCGTGCGTGCGTGCGTGCGTGTGTGTGTGTGTGTGTGTGTGTGTGTGTGCGTGTGTGTGTGTGTGTGTGTGTGTGCGTGTGTGTGTGTGTGTGTGTGTGTGTGTGTGTGTGTGTGTGCGTGCGTGTGTTTGTGTGCTTGCGGGCGTGCTTGCGTGCGTGCGTGCGTGCGTGCGTGCGTGCGTGCAGGTGTTGTTCTCATTATGTGGGCATGCCAACGATAACACCGATACCGACAACAGCGATATTTTACAACGCCACCGCCAAATATCACGGTCAGAGCGCTACCACTCTTCGATGACGGCGAGCACCGACAACAACGATGAAGATAATGATCACGTTATCTTGTGAGCCAGTCCCTTCCCTTTCGCCCTCCCTCGCCCAGCAGCAGCTCGGACACCCAGCCGGCCCCGCCCGAGGGCGCCGCTGCGCAGCCACTGTTCGTGAGGTTCGACGCGCTCTCGCTCGTCGTCGCCGAGTCCTCCGGCACGCACTCGGAGCTCTTCCGCCCTGGCACCAGCCTGGCCAGGTCCGAGGTTTGGGGAGGAGGAGGAGGAGGAGGACGAGGGGAATAATAATGATGATGATGATGATGATGATGATGATGATGATGCTGATGCTGATGATGATGATGATGATGATGATGATGATGACGGTGATGGTGATGGTGATGGTGATGGTGATGGTGATGATGGTGATGGTGATGATGATGGTGATGAACATGAACATGATGATGATGATGATGATGATGATGATGATGATGATGATGATGATGCTGATGATGATGATGCTTATGATGATGACGATGACGATGATGGTGATGATTATGGTGATGATGATGAAACTGATGCTGATGATGATGCTGGTGATGATGCTGGTGATGATGATGATGATGCTGATGCTGATGCTGATGCTGATGATGCTGCTGCTGCTGCTGCTGCTGATGAGGAGGAGGAGGAGGAGGAGGAGGAGGAGGAGGAG